GCGAATTGATCAGGGGAAATTGGCCAATGACGTCAATTAACGCGAATTAAAGAAAACAGATGGGAACAGAAAGTAAACTTGAAACTTTGCGGTCTCGATTTTTCCGAGATATTCTTCACCACCTGTATTCGCTGTTTGGCCGATCAGTAATTTTGAAACAACCTGCAGGTGTCCTCGTGCACGCTGGAGAATTTCGTGTGTATATTTTACGCGCTATTCGTCGATAGAGAGAAAGAGAGAAGGATATAGGCGAATACCATATTCATATGTTGCGCAGAAATGAACAGAATGCTCGGCGGGCATTAAAATTAATGAAACGAACGGAACACGCGTTTTAACGAAAATGTATGTGGGCGATCAGGCGGAAGCATGCTCTCTCGGACATGGAACCAGAAACGTACAAAACGCCTCTGGGCTTCGATCTTCTATCTACATAGTCTTTGCTCTTTCTAACGCGAGCTCAATAATCTAAAACGTTATGACGCTTTTTGTCCACTTTTCCCCCTTATCGAGCTCGAAATAAAAGAAATTCCACGATATTCTAATACTACTAATACAACGAATATTCTAGTATAAAGAAATTTTATTCCACTCTAATGTGTGTGTTTGTGTGTGTGTGTGTGTGTGTGTGTTAATTGTAATTAAAAAAACTATAAATTCTACGCTCTACAAAATAAATTCTGTATCTCATGGAAATCTATCTCCATTTGCTTCCCTATTCTGACCTCTATACTTAACAAAAATTTTAAAGAAAAATTCGAAAAATAATCCCACGGCGAAATTTATATTCTTATATAAACTTGACGAAGAAATTTAGCAATAAAATTGTCAAGTCGAGATTTCGTAATTCCTACAAATAAACAGACACGTACGTCCGAGAACGTATTACCACCGATTTCTATTCAAACATCTCTGATATCGCTTTAATTAAAATCATCAACGAAGAGTATATTTAGGGATGGTAGTTCCAGCGTTAAAGAAAGGGAAGAATTCTCTAATTAAGAAACTTGACTTGACGGTAAATGGAATTATGGATGAATGGATAGAAGTATATAATTGTACGCGAGATGACATTTTACCAACGTCAAGGGTCGATGGGTAGGCGCACGAATATAAATTTGTCCATTATCCAGTGATTAGTTTGCCGAGGGTTGCTCCTACGAGCAAGCAACCCCTTTGAAATATAATTTACATTGTTACACACAAAAATTCACATTTTCAATGAAAACATTTGATTATTCCAATATTCAATCGATTAATGCATCGATCTACTGATTTGAAAAACGGTTGTTTAAATCTTATATCTTACAATCATTAATTTCCCTAATTCTGTAAATTCTGTGAATTCCCTGCAACTACAGTTGTTCGATTACTTATACATTTATCTGTTCTTTTAAAAATGTACTGAAACTCCAAACAAATCCGCACTGTTCGTAAAAAGTTCGATCCACTGATTAAGTGGAAGTTAAAAAGAAAAAGAGAGAGCAAAAACAACTTTGAAAAGTCTCCTTGCATTCTCGTACAATCTTGAACGGATTACAAAAATTTATAACACGTGTCTCAAATTCTGTAGAAAACACCGAATAATAATACGGAATTAAATATTATTTATAATCTTAGCATCTGTATTATTCAAAAAATACTCGTAAGAACGGAGTTGGAGAATACTTCTTCATTAAAAAATATTGAAATGCGAAATTCAAGAATATCGATGTGCAAGGAAACTCATCCTGAATTAACTCAAATAAAAGCAAATAAGAAAATGTCGTTACACGCGGTTGTAATAAATACGGTCGCTAAAAAGTCGTTAAAAGTTCTATGTAATAATACGACAAGACATCCATGTTGATTCGGATCTTTTACATTACGGCATAATTGAGCGATTAATTAAAGAAATAAAACAACATAAGACTCACCATTAGATGCGAAGAACATAGTCATCGATGTTGCCCTGGTATAGCAGAAATGGAAGAAATGAAGACCAGAAGAAATCTGTAATAAAACATGGAATATCATAATCTATTCTTAAAAGCAGTGTTAATCATTTATAAAATTTAATACAAACGAAAAACAAATTCTTATTAAGCATAAAATTTTGTTGATAATAGACAGTTCAAAAATAAAAAGTTTAAAACTTTTACTTTTAATTGATAATAATTTACGTAAAGTGTGAGATATAGAATTCGTTTAAATATAAAATATAAGGTTGCTCACATTCTTGACTTTTGAAGCACTACATCTTTCCCAGAAAGCAGAGAAAAGTGGAAGTTGTAAGAAGTCTGTAATAAAATATGCGATGTTCCATAACTTACAGAATGTGCAAAAGATAAAATAAATTTAAATATAACAAAGATACTTACATTCTTCAGCTTCGGCAGATATTTTATCTTTTTGCGAGACGTGCGACGCAAAAACGAGTGCTGAAAAAAGAAATATATATTTAGAAGTGAAGTGTTTGCTTAGAAAAATAATGCTTTCCCAAAATTATAAACTATTTATTATTACTATTTATTATATGTATTTATCATTACTATTTATTATATTTATTATATATATTTATTCATTCATTAGAGACAAAAAATATCATATTAAAAATTCGAAATACTAAATTATTATCATGTAATATTATTATTAAAATATTATTATACACCATAAAATGTTTCGTCATATTATCACACATATATAAATATTACATAATATAACCGGTTTGTAAAAACTATACTGTGTATATTCATCATATTAGAGATTTAAATACACTCCGAACAAATCAAATGTGGCGCGCTTTTATCTGCGCAGTACTCAAACGACGGGATGCGCAGATCACGTTTGAATCTAACCGTTCAATTCTAACTTTGTTAAGAATATGTGTATGAATTGAATGTTAAATCAACAAAATAATGCCAATTATTCAACAAAATAAGAAAACGAACGTACAAATGCATTGAAAAAGACAATTATTACCATTTCGCCACGAAAAGATTTATCTTCTAATATTCAAAGTTTCTCTTGCAATTAACTCGCAATCTATACAAAACAAAAAAAAAAACATTCAAATAACATATATTTATGATTTACTATGGTTTATACAGAAATTATATTCAACTCAACTGTAAAAAAAAGATAACACGTACGAGGAGAACAATAATCCTTGCACTGCGAACAATCACTGTCTACGTAGAATTATGGATATAGAATTATATTACATACTCCGACCAGTATATGTGCTGCCATCTGTCGGATTTGTCAGTTTAGTTCCACTCGAAAATTAGAGTGGCAGCACCAGATGGCAGAACCATCGATAGACAAAGACAATAATATGCAACATAGTAATCAGTTTCAGCAGCTCACTGATATTGCTGCAGTGCTAAAGCAATAAATAGAGGAAACTTTCGTTAAAAAGCCTAATTAAGAAAATTAATTTGTAAACTTTTCCAAATGCATCTTCAAAAATAAGATTCTCAACTTTCTTCCTACATGTACTATCCATTTTGCACTGGAAGATCTAAAATTTGAAATTTTTGTTCAACAGAATATATATTAAAAGATGTCCTTTTGTACACTGTTATTCTCTTTGTCTATCACACAATGTGTCTGTTGTTGCAAAGTATTGTGTTTCTAATCTCTTTCTTCTTTTTCGTTTCATTTCTTCGTTTTAATAAAGAATTTTTATTAAAGAGAACACGCTTAGAATCCTTTATGAGTGCACATACATGCGCGTACATTTCAAAAATATAATACTAGCAATATATTTACATATATATTTCTGTGTATGTTATCAATTTATGGATGTTAAATAGAAGAAGGAAAGAAGAAGAGAAAGAAAGAACGCAGAGGTATGACAAAAGAAAAAAAAAAAGAAAATAGAGGCAAAAGTGTAGGTTAAAAAATAATCTTTTATGCTAACAAAAAGTCATTTCTCTTGTCCACATGTATGTAATAGGAGCTTCTTCTTACTTTTTACGTCTAGAATCTAGATTGTTAGTCGTTTTATTCTATTGTTGGTACTGCTTGTATCACATACTGATTAGTGTTGTTCTTGCTACAGTGGTTTTATTATAGTATTTGTGTTACTTTCTGATTATATTCAGTATCAAAATATTGCTGACAATCCTTCTCGCCGTCATGCTGCGTCCTTGAATGGATTTTATCTTGTACAGTACAAACTATTGTTGCATTTGTATGTTAATACTTTTCTTCTGACAGAAAAGTATTCTTTCGTGAATTCAGGACAGCCCAGATGTAGTTTACTTCCTCGTATACCATTCAAAAAATTCTCAAATTATTCTTCTTGATTTTTTCGCAATATACAACTTTTTCTCGCAATATACAATTTTGAACCTGCTGGCGCCCTCTGTCGGTAAACCAGTGGTACTAACTAATTTCGAAAATAATTTTAATTTTTCACGCCAATAATTTACATTCTATAAGCGTACATTTCACAAATGACGCTATACGTTCACAAATAAATTTAATTCCGACATTTAATATAATTCGCGAAACAATTGAAAAACATTTGATACATATTTGAAAAACACTGTCCATCTGCAGAGAAAAATTAGAAAATAATTATTAATACACATTGAAACGTAAATGGCGAAACGTAGCGAAACGTAGCGAAACGTAAAAACGAAAGCTAGAGGTCTAAAACAGGCGATGCAATTTCAAAAATTACTCCTCTTGATTATTTTTTTTTTAGCAAATTATTGCAGTATTTCAATTTGTACATGGCGGCGCCATCTGTTGGTCGTCAACTAGCACTAACTAATTTTAAAAATACTTATTTCTGCACTTTACGACTCAAACGAGGTATAAAAAGAAAGCTGCGGATCTAATTAAGTGGAACCAATCACAAAAGTTCATAATTTAATCCTCTAAATCATTTTTTCTTGTAATTGAAAATTCAGCTGCTTCACAGGGTAAGAAACACTAGCGCCGCGTTGTGGCAGAATGGTGGAACTAAGCGTTGTATATGCATGGCGTCAGCATACATTACTAAATCTAAATGTGACAGTTTGCATTAATTACGAAAAAAAATTAAGAGGAATCATTTATAAACTGCTAGGATTCAGTGTTAGATCTTTAGCTTTCGTTCTATGTTCTGTATAAGTATTGTTCACGTATATAAAAAATTTTTTTGATTTCGTTTACATTAGTGCCAGTTTTGATTTCGTTTACATTAGTAGTGAGTGTTTAATTTCTTGCAAACTACTGTGAATATTAGATTTAAATTCATTTGTGAACCTAATCGATAGTATTATCTTTGAAATATATGCTCGTAAAATGCAAATTGGTGCGGAATATTGAAATTAATAATTCTTGTTAATATTGATATGAAGCGTTTAGTTCCACCATTCTGCCACAACGCGGCGCTAGTGTTTCTTACCCTGTGAAGCAGCTGAATTTTCATTTGCGAAAAATACTAATTTAGAGAATTAAACTATGAACTTTTGTAATTGATTCTTCTTAATTAGATCCTTGGCTTTCTTTCTATACCCCGTTTGAGCCATAAAATGCAGAAATAAGTACTTTTAAAATTAGTTTGTATCAGTTAGCTACCAACAGATGGCGCCACCATGTCCAATTCGAACACTATATTATGAAAAAAAAATATATGAAGCATTTTATACTAATGGGGGGGAAAAAATCATATAAAGAAGAATAATTTGTGAACTTTTATAATTGTGGCATCTGTTTTAGATCGTTTTACGTGCCATTTATATTCCAATGTGCATTATTAATTATTTTCAAATTTTGTTCAATAGATCAAGAGCCTATTTCAAATGTATTTTAATGTATTCATTTTCTCACGAACTACATTGGAGTCAATATTGGAGTCAAATTTAATTAAATTAAATTATTATTTCATTTCTCATAGTTTTTAACTTAAATTCAAATATAGGCGCTTTAAAATTTAGCGCCATCATGTATGGCTTATGGGAGTATAACCTATAATAGCGTTTAAGAATTTGAGTAGCACGTGTGTCTTTTATAATCTGTGTGCTTCATAAATGTTTAAATGATCAGTACAGTATCTCTTTGTAAAATATAGTGTAATATTTAAGAATCAAAATGCAGCACGACGATGTAAGTTTGTCAAAGATTATTTATATAGATTCTTTATATTTTATATAATTTCAAACTGTTCCAGGTCGTGTGGAGTATCATCAATAAATCATTCTGTTCTTTTAAAGTAAAGTAAGTACAGTTTAAGAAGCATAATAACATAGTTTTGTTTAATATGATTTTAACTTATTTTTTGTTTCTGTAGTACTAAATCACAGAAGTTCTGTCGCAATGAATATAACCTCACGGGTCTATGTAGTAGAGCATCTTGTCCTCTTGCAAATAGTCAGTATGCAACGATTAGAGAAGAAAATGGTATTATCTATTTATATATGAGAACAGCAGAAAGGTAAAAATTTCATGTTTTTTACAATGAAATGTAAATAATAATTCTATGATTGTACGCATATCGTATTCTTTGCAGAATACATTTACCAAAAAGTGCATGGGAAAAGGTAAAACTTTCTAGGAATTTTGAAAAGGCGATGCAGCAAATCAATGAAAATTTGCTGTATTGGCCTGGTTTTGTAAAAGCAAAATGCAAGCAAAGATTTATAAAAATTACGCAATATTTGATACGTATGAGGAAAATAAGGTTAAGAAGACAAAAGCAAATTGTACCAATTCAAAGGAAAATTGAAAGAAGAGAAAGACGCAGGGAAGAAAAGGCTCTTATTGCTGCAAGATTAGATACTGCAATAGAGAAGCAACTTATGGAAAGATTAAAACAAGGCATGGTGTGTATTCCTTTCTTTATCGTCTTTTTACCATATTTTTTTTCTTTACCAACCTTTTTTTTCAGTACAAAGATGTTTACAACTTCCCACAAAAGGTATTTGATAAAGCTGTAGAAGCTGTGGAAGTTGAAGGTGAAAGTGAAGCTGAAAGTGAAGAAGAAGAAAAAGAACTAGAAATTGAGAAAGAAGTGGAATTAGAATTAGAAGCAGATGAAAGAGAAACAGAAATAAATACATCTCATTTTGTAGAAGCAGAAACTGACGAAGAAGATGAGGATGATGATTTTGATGTTCACGAAATATCTATGGTAATATATATCTTTCATTTATAATTGTATAATTTATACTTAATATTAATTGATCTATTTCAATAGGACGAGGATAGTGATTCAGGGAAAAAAGAAGAAATCGAATTATCTGATGACTTTGTATCTGACACTAGCGATATTGAAGTAATTAATGTTATAGTTATTTTTGTTTTTCTTTATAATACGGTTGTATTTGAAATTATCGTATTATTGTAGGATTTAGTACCTGCAGCAAAGAAAAGTGCGAAAAAATCTGTTGTCAAGAAACAGAAATCCCAAAAGAAAACTCGTCCAAGAGTCGAAATTGAGTATGAGTTGGAGTCAGAATTGTATGAAGGGAAACAAGCGAGATAAATACTTTTAGTTAGGATATTTGTAATTATATTTCTAATAAAATTTAAAAATTGTTTTATATATTCCACAATGTGTACTGTTCCTATTTAATTTTTTTATTTACATATTTTAGTAACTACGACCATCAATCAACAATTATTACAATCACATAACGTGATACTCGAGAAAGATAATCGCAGAATTCAAAATTGGCGCTAGCTTAAGTTCTCTAAAAGCATTTATAGAAAACATAGATGGCATTCTTCCGAGCAGAAATTCGCAGATTAGCAGACGACACGTTTGTACATAAAGGACAAGGTAAATTCTCTCAATTTTCTGCATAAAGAATATAAATGAACATGAATGAACAAATCGCAATTAACAGAATCTTAGTTCAAATAAATTGTTATTGATTTGAAAATGATGTGACGTGTTTTACAAACTTTGACAAAAATATAGCATCGAGAACTTGTTTAATTGTCCATTATATGTGCTGTTTATTTTTTACATATTCAAATACACGGCTGTCCAGTGAATGAGAAATCACAATCACTCAAATAAGATCTTAATAGGTGTTTGCTAAATAAATTAACAAATAAGTAACAGCTAAAGTACATATGTATACAATGCGTTGTGTAGATATAACCACTTGAGTGAAGTAACTCTTCATACTTATTCTCTAAAGAAAAAGAGAAAAGGAAGAGGAAAAATATATTCGTTGGCGGTTTCTTAACGAACTAAAGATTTTTTGTCATTGAATTGTTGATTGCTTGAAGCAAATTTGCTCACTGTTTACGAGTTCTGTGCAAGAGTGTCATAATAAATTAGCTCCAACCAAATGTCACGAACATCGCGTTACCCGTGACAGTGCTTTTGTTTGCTATAAATAGAAAAAGTAGGTTATCCTCGAGATCAATTCTGAAAATAGTGTAATTAACTAAATACATTTATCGTTTTGTATGTAAAATTTGCAAAGAGAGTCCAAAAGAATCATAGTTTTCACTGTTTTGTAGAATTATTTTTATTTTATTTCATAAATCTTGCTGTAATATATCTTTTTAAAATGTTTGATAAAAATACATGAATAATGTGATTATAAATAAATTTCATTGTGACAAATGTGTATTTGGTACGTTGTTAAGAATAGTTGATAAATATTGTTAATGAAATGTCAATTTTATCTTTATTATGATATATATGTTGTATTTATAAATCTATTAAAAATACTGACTAAGCTTCAGTATGTTTCTTTTATTGCCTGTTGTTTTATTAATATAGAATTTGTTTTTTATTACAGGCATATTATGAAATTTTTAAAAAAATTTTTCGACATCTTTAATGAGAATTAAAAGGAGACCCTAATGTAGACTGATTCTGATCTTGCATCTTTTGAAATTTGCTTTTTATTTTGTAAATCAATGCCAAGATATTAGACAATTTCACCATGGAACTGAATAATGTGGGAAACAATAAAAGTTCCATACACATGGCAATATCATTTAAAAAATTATGTTTGGCAACAGTGTCCTTACCTCTTGTGACACTTTTAGTTTGTTTTGTTACAGCATATATCTTTCAACAAGATGATATCCACGAAACACACTGCAGGGTATGATATTTGCACATCTACGATCTTTCGCTTAAATCTTCTAAAATCTTCTAATGTTAGTATTCTTGATTTTAGGTTTATAATGTACTTCCATCAATCTCAGCTATTACTGGTATATCTCCTCAAAGATATTTATGGCGTATAAGCATAGCACTACACATAGGTCCACGTCTAATTATTGCCAGTGTATATCATTCATATTATCATAAAATACTTAAAACAATTGAAGACGTACCCTCCAAAATTATGGGATCTAGACTTTTAAATCTATGTTACTGGTTAAACATTGCAGAAGTGGCAGCCCTATGTGGAGTCACATATATCTCTAATAGGGAAAATTATTGTGAGTAATAATGTAAAATATAATAGAATATTTGTATAAAAATAAATTGTATAATACAATAATGGTATTTTTCAGCTGTGCACGAAAAGATCTTCATTCTCTTTATGATTAGTTCTCTAACATATATGCTAACAGAAGTGAGATTGGGTCGTCTTATAACACCAAATGCACAAAGTCTTCAGTACAAACAAGCACTTTTTATAACTAGTCTTGTTAGTACTGTAGGACTTATTATTTTCTTCCTAAAGCACAGGCTACTGTGTCATGATCTGGGTAAGAAAATTTACACATTTTATGCATAAATTATAAATCATTAAATTATTATAATATCTTTCTTAACAGCATTTAGCTGGTTTTCCTTGTGCGAATATGTGATTGCCTCTGCAAATATGGGTTTTCATGTAACTGTAATTCTAGACTTTCCTAAGGAGCAGCTGATCGTTGGAAATGGCTTACCTGCCTTAAAGGTGGATTAATTTGTAATATTTTATACTCATTATTATCTTATTATTGTCATCAAAGTGCCTACTGCCACTGTCTGGAAGTGCTATTGCCAAAAGTGATACCATATATATAAAAGTGATACCATATAATACCGTACTCTAGATAGCTGAGTATCCACTGATAAATATTGGTAAATATTTCTTAATAAAATAATTGTACATTATATAAATGAAATCAAAATTTTAATGAAATCAAATATTAAAAAATTCTCTTATCTTAAGAAAAATAATTACGAATGCAAGATCTGTATAACAGTTGTCGTAATTTACATTTCTTCTTTTTAGTAACTTGTTCAGATTGATTGTAAATTTATTCAAATCGCGATTTATATTTAAAAGTATTTATCAACTATATACTTATTCGAATAAATAATTAAATTATATGAATAGATGACTTTTATTAAAAGATATTTTATATGTTTAGTGGATACACGGTTTGAAGCACAATATCTTTTCTATTAGCAGATTTTAGCGAAATAGAATTAATTTTATCGTTTTAAGTAATGCTGCAATACGTAAGATAATTTTGAGCTTAGCATTTGCTTAGTTGACGACTTTTATCATAAATACACCTTCCAATTACAAAAAGGCACAATTGAAAGCTAAAGCCAAAAAGAGAAAAAAATATTAAAAAAAAAATCTAGCGCTTCCAAAGTATGGCACTGGTATCTTCCCAGGCAATGAAAAATAATCTTTAATGGCCTTTTAGGTAGTGAGAATTTGTAGTGATACAGAACAAATATGTATCCTACATACAAACAATATTTAACATAAAAGTTCAAAATAATGAAATTTCATATTTTGTTTCGAAGAAAGAACTATCGTTAGCATGAAGTAAAGAATGTTCTTGTTTATCGTGAATTTTAAATCGCTTCTCTAGTTTTTAAAAAGTGAGATTTCTAGTCGATATTTTATTCTAGTCCTTTTACAATTCTCTCTTTATTTTCTTTTTTTATCTGCTTTAAAAAGGAATATCATCATTCTCATATCATGAATTTTTAACACATTGTTAGCATGTAGGATGCATTTGCGTACGTTCATGGAATAATTGTACGTAATCCTAATTTAAGATATACATAGTAGAGATATTATTCATCATTGTACAGCTATAATACTATTAATATATTTTATCGTGTCTATATATCATACGAATCATACACTATGTAAAAATGAAAAGAAAAATACAACCAAAAGAAGTGTCAGTTACTCGATACTCATGTAATGCGGATTAGTAGCAATATTGTATCATGAGCATAGGGATGGATTACTATATTCATTTACGTAGCGTATGATTCTTAAGTACAACACGATTGGCATTTAAATAATCACGACGCAAAATAGGAAATGCAAACAGAAAGTGAAATTAATGATTATCTTGTACGATATATTCCTGACCAAAGCATGACTATTACGTCCAAAAAATACGGAGCAAATTGACGAAGTTAATTCGAATAACTGTTTGTACTAAATTTTATAACGACATGTTCCCTCTCAAGATATATTCGCGTTAAATATTTCACAGAGAGCATTAAATAAGAAGCAAAGGAAAACTATTTGTGATAAAGTGCACCATTGGAATCAGTTGTATAAATTCCTACGATTGTATATATTACCACGACGTTGCGTAAAGTAAAATTATGATTTTGTTTTTTAAACGCAATTAATTCCAAGTATATTTGCACAGTATATTTTCGAATACGAATAGGAATATATATATATATTTTTTTTTTATACCGACAGACGTCAATATGCTTTTGTATTTCGCTACTTCTTTTGTCGAAATTGCAAGTTAAATTATAGATATGAATATCTCGAATTGCAAGTTAAATTATAGATTGAATTGTCTAGTGTTCAAAAGCACGTGAAAATTGTAAATCATGTACAATCATTCGCAGCAACATATCTTGATGACTATGACATTGTAATACAAAAGCAAGCATTTGTAATTGCCATATAGAAATAATCGCAGACTGTTATGAATTAATTTATTGGTTACGTGGAACGTTAAAATCCGTGCCAAGTGATGATTAAAGATATCGTGCGTATACACACGTCTATTACATTGGGATAGATCTTGATCTGATAGCAGAATATCTTTAATGAATCGCTTATTCGCGATAAATCGTTTTTGTAATTTTATTTTGTCCGAATATATTTGGGAATTAAACGATTTTCTGCACTTGCTGCACACATATGAAACATATATTATGCAATATATATATATATATATATATATATATTAAAACGTTGTCTTCGTAACGCAACGTACGCTATATGGGAGGTTTGAGAAGAGACGTGATAATTTTTGATCGATTGTTTGAGAGATTTCTTGTTATTCGTTGGAATAATTATAGCTGAAATAAGCTTCAATTTAATTGTAAATTTCCCGCAATTAATTTTCAGATGAAACAAATCTCCCAAACAATTCTTCAGGACTTTCCACCCATGTCTCGAAAACACCTCGTATGCCACGATTCACTCAGACATTACATTCGAAATTATTACATTAATATGTATATTTAAACTAGATAATATTGTATCCAGCGTTGTTCATCTTGGTATCTGATTTTATAGGAAGCTTGTATATATAAGCGTTATCATTATATTATACTTGACGAACGATCGGTCGCGGTCAAGGAACAAGAGAAATCAAATCACGATCTGTGTAGAGCAGCATCGTCTATGTCGATGTTGCCAGAGCACGACGTGCAGCAACCTTGACATGTGTCAGAATCTCTGTTTAATTGATGTCAGCCACTTGGCACGATGACACTGTCATGAATTAGGTTGAACGTCTCCTCGCGACTCTTCGAAGGTTTATTATAATAATAACAGATTTATTATGTAAAGTAGTTCAAAAGCGGGTTCTGGAGCAGAGTGATACCATCACTATAATTATAACGATTATTTACTAAAACTGTCACATTTACACTTTGCTCACTCTGTCTCCTCTCTCTCTCTCTCTCTCTCTTTCTCTCTCTGAATCACGTGTACATAGAGCAAATGCACATACACAGACACATAGACAAAAATATTGAAAATAACAGCGTGAGAAACTTTTTATCGCGATTAATACTCAGATTAAAGAGATCGATGGTAATAGTTTATTGATCGAGGATTACAGGGGTATTCTAATTTAAAATTCGATTTTTGGATTTTTTTTCCATCGCACGAACGATAATTACGTGTCCTCGAAGTTGAATTTCAAATAAAAAACGAAGATGATTCCTTTGACGCCATAAGATATTCCTCCATATTTTCCTGATAATAATGATAATGCTGGGGGTTAATCTAAAATTATTTTTTTTGTCACGTGCCAAAAATCAATGAAGAAAGTAATCTAAGTCTAAATTGGAATATCCCTTCTTTGCAAAGATTAACAGGATGAAAGATAAAAAATTTTAGAGATATATACGTAGCGTTGTTCATTTAACATCTCTAAATCGTTGCATGCATACACGCATATTAGTATTTTTGAAAAAAAAAAAAAAAAAAAAAAAAGCTTTTTACCATTCGGCAACACGAGTTAAATATTTAAAAATCTCATCTTGGAAAGATCGAATTCAGTAGAAAAAGTTAGGTATACGATAGATACTCTTTCCCAAAGTGATTAAAGAGAGAAACAATATATAGCTGATGAAACTAATTGAAATATATTTGCTCTGCTCTTTTAGGATTTATTATTATTCGTGCTTTTTGTATTTCTAGAGTGACAAGATTTAGTTACGAGTCGATATTTTACGTACAGTTATTTACAAGGTATATGACGAGATTGCGTCTCGTAATCGTGAAATCATCAAAAATCTTAAAATGATTTCACAGCTACGAGACTTGAAAATGAATATATCTTTTTCTTTCTTTCTTTCTTTCTTTCTTTATCCCCGCTAAAGATCTAGAAATTCCGCGTACCAGGAACTTCGTAGATTCGATTGAATATTACAATTAGCAATAACAAAGTAAAGAGAGTAATGACAAACATATCGATTCGATAGAACGATCGGAGTTTTGATTTCCATGTATTGTATATAGGAGTATGAAGACGATAAAGATAGGGAAAACCCTGAAAAATGATATTTTCACACGAATGTTATATGCTTCCTTTTAAAAATTATTTACTTTCACTTTGTTGCAATAGAAACTTCAATTTATTTTTTCTTTCTTCTCGGTACGTGAATTATGTAGACGACCGACGAATTCTGTGATAATCAGCACAAATATGTAGCTGTTTTACTTTTTGTGCTTTTATGTTTGTATAGGATTTTACGTATTATTATCTTTTACAGAGCCTCTAGTAGAAGTAATTTGTTTACAATTTTTCGGGATCGTTGCTCTTTCTTAATTTCAATTGAGAGTTTGTTGTACGCGTCGTCACGTGTGTTCTAATTGAACTCTCGTTGGAAAAAAATTGCACGTAAAGGACCTGTTCTTCTTGAATCTTTTGAACTTTACTACGTAAACACAAACGAAATCTAATATCAAAAAATGGAAAACGATAATGCTAAAGGACACTTAATACTTTAATGATAATTTAAAAAAAAAAGAAGATATTATTGAGTCTTTCTACAAACGAAAATCTATTGAATTTATTTTAAAAAAAGGTTCTGATATAAGTAGACGAAGCCGAAAAATTTGATTCGAGCAGAGAATTTACGATGAGGATATCTCAATCTAACTGTGTGTGACACGATTACGTAGGTCGTGTAGATTTTGTGAATCGAAACACGGTAGAAGAGCTAATGTGAAACGAGATGAAAAGAATGAGAACGACGATTTGTCACGGAACAAGGTGTGCTCGCGGCTCTCTGTAATTTTCTGGCGCCTGAAGCTCGATCTTCTCTTGTACGCACGATCAATTAGAGCGAAAGTGATCGAGCGTCAAGTCCGACTAAAACTTCGGCATGTCTGCCGAAGGTAATTGAACTCCGTTGACCTTAATACAGAAAACGAATGAGCAAACGGAACGAACCGTGCGACAACGATGGATGAAGCTTGCGTGAATTACCAATGGACTGCGAATATTTATGCAATTTGCGGAAAGTTTCAAGATTAAAAAAAAAAAAAAAAAGAAAGAGAATGCTTTTAATGACTTTATAAATTCAAATCAAGTGCGATACCCAAAGTTTGCATACTCGTAGGCAATTAAAAGGAAATGTGCAAAAATGCCGACGACTAGAATAGAATATCGAAATATTGATTATAACTAGTTAGTAAGTGAAACAAATCTGAATCGAATCTGCATAAATATTCACGGTCTAATTAGCAAAATTATCATCGGTAGAGTGAATGATCGTGTTCTTTTTTTTTTTTTTTTCTTCAAATGTAATTTATTTTTTATGATTGGTTGGTTCGGCTGAATCAGTGTAGTGTAACGAGCTACGTTTATAATCGGCTTAAATAACGCGCTCTATACTGTGATTGAAGCGTTAATACGCCCGAGTAAAGTGTGAAACTGCGTGGATTTTTTTTAGAGAGTGAAAAAACGTTCGAGATGGATTTTCCATTGTTCATGTAATACGTAATTAAATATAATTAAATAAAGCGTACCGTGCATGTACCTTCTGGTCGTTCCGAGTTCTTCCATCTTTTATTTTCTTTCAATTATTGGCAATACTCATTTTCACTTTGTTATGGAACGAGTGACCGAAAGTTTCGAACCTATTCGCTTTCTTAATTGGCTCGACGATCCTGTCCTCGTCTTTTGGTTTAAATAGAAAAAAGAATTTTTTGTAATCGATGCAACTTCACCAGTACAACCAGTTCGTTGAGAAATATCTAAAATCATGAATATTCTCTATCATATATGAATGAAATTGAAAAACAAATTGACACGTCTTGTAACTGATCTTACACACACACACACACACACACATATATTTATAAATAGAAAATAGGAATATTAATTTAATCATTTTCCAGTCAAAATATATTTAAATGCGCATTTAAATATTCAAAGATAATCCTTTGCATGAAAAAAATTTTATTTCATATTTTTTATCTATTTTTTTTTTTTTTTTTTTTTTTTTTTTTTTCAGATAGAGGCATCCTCTCATACAACCAGTTACAAAACATTCTGTATGACACTGAGGCACATATATTTACCGGACGAAGTTTGATCAGCGATATCAGTTTCATCTTTCAGAAGATTCCCATTCAATCTGCTCGATTTGTTCACTTTCGCAGAAGCTTCTTTGGCTCTGGCATCGTCGTTCGGTGGACGAGATCTTTTCACTTTCTTTTCATCGAACGCAACGGCAGAGTTTGCTGAAGAAGTATCCATACATTTTCTACACCGCCACACGATTCTCGGATCGTAGACATCAATGTCGACGACAGGGGGTTGATGGCAAAGGGGATGATAGACTTCTTGACATTCTTGACACTCCAGCAGTATCAGCGGCCCTAACTTTGCCCCGTTACAGACCTACGATTCCACAAAGTGAAATTAGGTAAAATACTAAGTTCCATTTTTATGCGACAGTTCACCGACCATCAAGTCGACGAATGTGAAACGTTTTAATCACAGGCCGTGTACTTTTTTTTTTTTTTTTTAAATAGGTCTCTTACGATTCGATGCACGTTTCAAACGATTGGCAGGCAAAGAATGTAAATAACGAAGAAACCTTGCACAAGAGTCCATCTCCAGATCCTTCGTCAGGAATAGATATCCTGGGAATATCCGTCTTCTCGCTGCAATCCTCAACATCCGCGTCAAATATTTTCATCGGTTTCCAATTACTTTCCGTCATATCATTCGCAGGAAATGATGGACTTCTGGTATCTCTGGACAGTTCATCGTCGCTTCTTTTACGCCAAGGCGTTTCCGATGTCTCGTTGGCGAACGATTTCCCACAGATTTTCGTGTTCTGCAGAAATTTCCTCGGCATCCTGGCCACCAAAGTTTTGTCAAAGCCGTACTTCTTCTCGATGGACGTATGCAGCATTTTACGAAGCTTCTCCGCGCTATCGTCCTCTGTCGAATGTAGCAGTGCCAATGCGTTGTAAAATTCCTCGTCAATGTCACACGCATCCTCCGTATCCTCGTACATTGTGTATGTTTTTCAAAATGCCCTTTCTTCGAAATATCTTTTTCTTTTTCTTTTTTTTTTTCCAGCAACTCTTTATATTTCAGACGAAGTTGTTCGTGTTTTCTCGTGAAGATAATGTGTAGAATACGAGGTGACCAGCAAGCTACTTACTGATTTCAATCGCTTGAACTCTACGTTTGACATTTGTTGGAAGAAGTTTCAACATTTTTCTGCACTACTCGGTTGGACGAAGTATGATGGTAGACACTTTCAAATCATTGTCATTTATCAGATGCGAAGAAAATTTAAACAGTAGAACCTAGATAGAAAATTATTTCCAAATTTTTTCATAGATGCATGGAAATCCAAGTAGTCTAGTTGACGAGATTATAGCTAGGTGAAATAATAAAATTCGAAAATGATGTACCTGCTCTTACCGTGTTTCAGAATTTCCGCGAGTTTCGCAAAAGTTGAAACTTTCCGTTGCTTCGAATAGAAATTCAAGGTGAAAGGTTCTTTATAAACTGACAAAGTAGATGTGAAAAGTTAACGGAGAGGGTGAATACCAAAGCTGTGCGATTACACGAAGAATAACGATACTAGTATAAGTTCCAACTTGAGATGGACGTCCATTGTGAAATACGCCGAAGGAAAGTAGTTGATATTTATCAACTCGAGTATCGACTTGCTCCGACCGATTGTACATCGATAAAATTGCACCGATGCACCATTGTTTTCCAAGCTGACAAGCTACCAACCGGTCTGCCACTATTACACAATATAATATGTACGGCCGGCTATGAATGTCAGCGACAATTTCTTATAAAAATGTGAAATATGTCATGGATTTTTCATTCCATTGCATTTTTAAATTATATTTTTAAACTTTTTTCTTTCTTTTTGTTACAGATATATTCATCCTGATTTTCTAATACACGTTATCCCGAATCATGCGTATTTTTATATATATTATTTATATAAATTATTTCGATCCACTCTACTGTGGCAGTGCGAGGACTGATAAATATGTATGTACGTATGTAGATTCTCAGTCGACTTTAATTATGAAATCATTGTCGTTAATTACGTTTATTGGTTTTAAATAAAGCAGTAATTCCGAGCATACGCAGTTCTATGATGCCTCTACAATGTTCCGGCAATCTCGTATAAACGGCAGAATCAAAGGTTGATGTACCTTGCATTTATATTTACGATTGAAATACCTGTGATAGAAGAATAATGCATTCAAGGACTAAAGAATCATGCGCAACGCTGGTATTGCCTTTGCTGTTGTGAGAAACCGGCGAGTGGCGAGACACCGATCTCTGGCATTGGATTTCGCTCGAACAGAACGAGCTGGCGCAGTGGATCCTAGGGGTGTGAGTGGATGGAGCGGAGTCGAAGAAGACGTAGTCAACGTAAACGGTGCTGGTAAGGAAAGGAGTAGGCGGTGAACAGGGGAGAGAGAGAGAGAGAGAGAGAGAGAGAGAGAGAGAGAGAGACGCGTAGCTCACCTGGCATACCAGCAGAGTATCGCGACACATTTTGATCGAATTCTTCTCGAGGTCGAGGAATGCCGGTATCTCCGGTAGATATTATTACATATTTAGGTGGAACGGTACGCTGCCGGAGGTAATACACTTAGACGTATTCTCTCTGTCTCGGTGCGCGTTGCCGTTGAACGTCGGTGTTAGTGAGGATGTTATACAAGTATTGGTGCACAGAGCTCACGATAGGGGTGATAGAAATGGCGATGGCGGCGGCGGCGCTGGTGGTGGTGG